GGTAAACATCTAAGGTATTTTTTTCCTCCTACCCCACCCCCCAGAACTAAGTAAGGACATCCCCAAAGCAGAAGCCATGTACAAGGATTTTCAAGGCAGCAGTATTCCTAACAATCAAGGCTGCAAATAACAGGACTCGAATGAACAGTAAGAAACGCTGCCATCCTCTCAGACGAAGGCAGGACATGGGGTAAGACAACCTTGGCCCAGCTTTGTAAGCTAAGGATGCTTTCAATGTTTTTAGGTTTTATTTGACATGTTTTTGATATTTTAAGGAGGGTTTATTTAGGAAGTCACACAGATTAAAAAAAAAAATTGAGCCAGCTGAGCTGCACGGGCTCAGAAACAAGTCACAGAGGCCAAAGAAAGGGCCATTGGGCTTAGGAGAGAGAGAAAGGCACAGGGAACTCCGCACAGGGAAGGAGGTAGGGGCAGGGGGAGGCCCAGGGGTGCTCCCCAGAGAGAAAGCACCTAATGGCGTTTTTAAATGATAAAAACAAAAACAAACAAACAAAAACCACACCTTTTTTGTGAATTATATATGAGAGACATTCTGTGGCTTGTAACTCCTAAAATAATTACTGTGTAAACATTGTAGAATAGGGTATTCTGCCCCTCATTACAGAGCAAAAAAATATACACCTATGTACTGAGCAAAAGAAGCCTGACATTGAAAAATGCATAATGGCCTGGCCTGGGTGGGTCAGTGGTTGAGCATTGACCTATGAACCAGAAGGTCATGGTTAGATTCCCAGGCAGGGCATGTGCCTGGGTTGCAGGCTGGATCCCAAGTGTGGGGCATGCGGGAGGCAGCTAATCAATGATTCTCTTTCATTATTAATGTTTGAACGTCTCTCTCCATCTCCCTTCCTCTCTGAAATCAATAAAAAATATATTTTTAAAAAATGCATAATGTATGATTGATTTAGTTAAAAATGGGTAAACTAAATAAACTACAAGGATCAGGAATGATTAATTACATGATAAAATTATAAAGAAAAGCTTAAAGTACTTGGTATGGAGAGCAGATAGTAATTACCTGTGGGTGAGAAGATGTAATATAATTGGGGGGAGGGGGTCTCACAAAACACGGCTAGGGTGTTAGAGTGTTGTTTCTTACATATGCAAACAGTACACATATACATACATGTAAATATTGCTTTTACACTTTTTAAGTTGCAGATTTTTTAAGTTAGCAGTTCAGTGGAAGACCTCAACAATACCAAAATCTGGTCCTTAAAAGAACAATCAATCTCGACTACAAATGACACAGTTTCATAAACAGTAAGAAAAATTGCCATAAGGCAGTTTGTAGTGAGAAGGGTGGAAAGAAAACTGGCGCTAACGAAGAATATAAATAATTAATGGGAGACATAAAACACATTAAAGAAGTTTCTTGAGTCTTAAAGAAGAATATAAACATATATACTGATGTCATTAAATTTGAAATCCTGGATGAATCATGATTTCATGACCTTACCCTCCTAGGACAGTGGCAGGTGAATTTTCTGGATAGACAACAGGGCACCGTTGTTCACTACAACCCCAATTTCCTGTTTTGTATTGGAGAGATGAGCAAATGCATTGAGATAAAAATAAATTATAAACATTAAGGAGGACAGAAAATTGATCTTCAGATGATATTTCATCAACATGGAAAAAGATATGCAAGGAATTTCTTATTTAAAAGAGAAAATGGCCTTAGCTGGTTTGACTCAGTGGCTAGAGCGTCGGCCTACAGACTGAAGAGTCCTGGGTTCGATTCCGGTCAAGGGCACATGCTCTGGTTGCCAGCCCAATTCCCAGTGGGGGCGATAAAAGGGTAATACGCTAATTAGACAGGACATTTTCCAGACATCTTCCGGACAAAGCCAAGGTGGCGGGGGCTGAGGTAGAGGTGGTTAGGAGTGATCAGGCTGGCAGGGGAGAGCAGTTAGGAGGCGATCAGGCTGGCAAGGGAGGGCAGTTAAGGGGCAATCAGTCCAGCAGGGGAGGGCAATTAGGGGGTGATCAGGCCAGCAGGCAGAGGTGGTTAGGGGCAATCAGGCAGGCAGGCAGAGGCAGTTAGGGCTGATCAGGCAGGCAGGTGAGTGGTTAGGAACCAGCGGTCCCAGATTGTGAGAGGGATCCCAGATTAGAGAGGGTGCAGGCCCGGCTGAGGGTCCCCCCCCACCCTGCTGCCCCCTCCAAGAATTTCATGCACCGAGCCACTAGTAAATAAATAAAAGAGAAAATGTCCCCCAGAGACCACCAGGCACATTTTCACTTACATAGTTGGCTAGAACGACATGCACCACATACCCCAGTTCATTTCACAGTAACTCAGTCACTAGCGATGGGAACTGGAGCCACCGCGATTGGCTGAGACCGACCAGGACTCACTAATACACTGAGATGCAGGTCACCTTGCCAGTGGGATGGGCCTTACATTCAATGGAAATCCTGTTAGCAAAGCAGGAAGTGTGAGTGTGTGCCAGGCAAATAGGCAACAGGTGGAAGCAGGTGCACGTGAGCAGCGTGCACAGGGACAGACAGGTATTCCGGGCTTTTGAGGGTCACCAGTCTGGGCGTCCAGGACTCGGTTCTGCGCTTGTAGCTCAAAAGCGGCCACAAAGGAGGAGTGTCCCATGGACGAGGCTGGATTAGCCAAACTCCCCGCGGCTGTGAGCCAACCCCTGGATAACGGACTAAATAAAACACAGGGCTACTAGCTACCTGCCTGGGCTCTGCCGCCTTCTCTGCGGTTCATATCTAAGCCACGTATCGCCCCATAGTAAGGGCACATTGGAGCCGGGTACACACGGACAATGGTCACGCCCCGACGCCCCCACACGGCGACCCACACCGAGGAGCCCCGCGGAAAACCCCGGACCGAAACCTGTCGCCGCGATCAGCCAAACGCCAGCCGCGTCCCTCACAGAGGGACCCGCAAAGGCCACAGCGGGCGGGACAAGGCCGTCCATCTCTCTCGACCCCGAACCGCCGGGGGACCCCAAAGGGACCCCAACCGCAGGCGGGAGCGTCACACCTGCTTCCTCCCAAACTCCTTGGCGCCCCCCGCCCCCACGCGCGATCCGACCGCCGCCGGCAATCCCACGGGTCTGGCCGCACCCCTTCCTCGCTGTAACGTCACGTGCTCGGTGAGAGACGAACCTCACAGGAGACAAACATTTTTATAAACTTCAAAGGACGGGAGCTCACTGACGAGCTTTCCTCCAGCCCCACGGGAGCGTCCGAGCTTAACTTTCCCGCCATCGGATTTGGTCGCTGCTGGCGGAGCTCAGCTATTGCGTCATCCGGCTGCGGCGGGCGGGGACCTGAAGCCTTGGCAGAACCCGGAGCGATTTCCGCGTTCCCTGCCCGGCAATATGGCGACTCCCTGTGGCCGCAGCGCCGCCTCACTGGGTCCGCCATGTTGGGAGGCCTGACTGCCGTACAAAAGGCAAAGCCCAGGAACCAGGAGCCAGGAGCCAGGAGCCAGGAGCCAGGGACGGCGGGCAGGTGGGAAACTCCTGAATTTTATCTCATTTCCTGGCACTTTGACTCTTGTGGAAAGTGAGTGTGTTTTCGGAGACTCAAGCTTGGGGAGGCAAACTGCATTGGGAGGTCTGAGCAAAGAAGTGATTATTGCAGCTTTCTTATCTCTCTCACTTCCTTTGTGAGAGAAAGAAACATTGATGAGAGAGAGGTGGAAAGATGGGTTGCCTCCTGCAGGCCCCCACCAGGATTGCGCTCACAGGAGTCCAAACCGCACCTTTCCTGGTGCTCTGGACCCTGCTCAATCCAAGCAGCCCCATCCAGGTCATGCCTGCAGGTTCAGGAGGGGCCTTTGTAGCTGTCTTGACAGGCAAGCATCGTTAGCTGGCCGGGTGCATGTTTAAAGCTTGTTCGTAAATTTTTTTTTTTTTTTTTAAAGCCCTAACCGGTTTGGCTCAGTGGAACGAGAGTGGGCCTGCGGAATGAAGGGCGGACTGAAAGGTCCCGGGTTGGATTCCGGTCAAGGGCATGTACCTGGGTTGCAGGCACATCCCCAGTAGAGAGTGTGCAGGAGGCAGCTGATCGATGTTTCTCTCTCATGGATGTTTCTAACGCTCTATCCCTCTTCCTTCCTCTCTGTAAAAAAACATTAAAAATATATTTTTAAAAATAGCTTGTTCGTACCTGCAGCAGCTCAGGTGGCTATCAATGATTGATGTCATTGCACAGATGTTCATCTCCAACTAGTCGAGGGGGCCAAGGAGAGTATGGCATTGACACAAGTGTTTGTCTTTACAAGTTGCTCTGAGTTGTTTACTGAAGTTCAAATCCTTATCTATGAGGGACACACGCTTCAGGGCACTGGGGAATGTGTTTTTAATATCATACTTTAAGTTTCAAGGAAAGTTAGCTCAAACATTTTAAAACGTTTCTAACATTCTTTAAGCAGTTTTAAACATTTCTATATTTTACCTCAAGTTTGTGCAACATTTTTCTAAAAACAACAATGTAAAAAACCACACAAGTAGCCCTGGCCAGGTTTTGCTCAATGACTGGAGCGCGGGCCTGCAGACCAAAGGGTGACGGGTCTCTATTCCTGGTCAAGGGCACAGGTTCCAAGCCAGGGGAGCTTGGGAGGCAACCAATGGATGTGTCTCGCACGTGGACGTTTCTCTCCCCCTCCTCCCTCCCTCTCACTCTCTCAAGAAATCATTGGGTGAGGATTTTAAAAGAACCACAAAATATCCTCAGGTGAGGATTTAAAAACATGCCAAAAAACAAAGAAACAAAAAAACGTTTCCAAACAACAGAGAATAAAATCCTGTAAAGAGAAAAGGTCTGGTATATACAATTATCCCATAAATGCAAACCAACGGGGAAGCTTGTGGTGGGAAATTTTTTGCAGGAGGTGATTTTTAAGAACCAAAACATATTTCATGATTATGTGAATACATAACTTTTTTAAAAAATTAATTTTTATTTATTTCAGAGAGGAAGGGAGAGGGAGAGAGAGATAGAAACATCAATGATAAGAAAGAATCAACCAAAACCTATCTCCTGCACGCCCACCACCTGAACTTTCCTAAAAAATTAATTTTTATTTATTTCAGAGAGGAAGGGAGAGGTAGAGAGAGATAGACACATCAATGATAAGAAAGAATCTTTGATCAGCTGCCTCCTGCACGCCCACCACCTGGGCATTTGCCCTTGACTGAAATCAAACCTGGGGGATTCTTCAGTCAGTGGGCCTACTCACTGTACAATGAGCCAAAGCGGCCAGGGTTTAAGCATAACTTTTTTTTTCTTTTTTTAATATATTTTATTGATTTTTTACAGAGAGGAAGGGAGAGGGATAGAGAGTTAGAAACATCAATTAGAAAG